CTAAAATATTGCCTGTATGAAAGAAGACAAAAGGCCCACTATCCGTGCGAGAAGGCAGTGAGGTATGGATGGTTGTCGTAACACCTTGTGGACTTCCCTGCGAATGGACTGCAAACTTTTTTAAGTGGGGAATCACGGGGTAAGAGTCCTGGAATCGATCTTGAACCCCAGGAACTGAACTGTCTGAGCCAGGATGTGAATATGTTCATGTGCTTATTGAGTTTCTTGGTGAAGGCCTCTCCGTGAATTCTACCCTGTGCCTTGAGGCCGAGATCTTTGTGTCGATTCGGATATGTGAACAGGCAGTAGTGCGCGTGCGCCTGAGCACAGCGTGTTAGAGCTAAGCCAAAAAGTCGGCAGATGGGGGAAGCCAGTTTTTTTGAAGACCTCCAAAACAATCTCCCAAGTCCTGGGATCAGGGGAAGGAAACCCCAGGGAATGAAGGAAGGGGGAGGAGGGACCCCAGCACTCCAAGATAAGGGAAAATAGGGGGGGGGGAACCGGCAACAGGAAAAAATGTCACAGAAGTCCCAATAAGAAAAAAAACTGAAAAGGGGCTAGAAATAAGGAAAAAGAACCCAAACTATAGAGCAAATATTCAGTGAAACCCCAGATAGAAGGAAACTGTGTATGGAGAACAAATTCAGTACTTATCTTGTGATGGAGCAGCAAAGAAAGAGGAAGTACAATGGTTACACACGCCTCTTATATATGTTACTGGTTTTTGGTTGGTTTTCAGTTGTTCATGAATTTCTTTGCTGCTGTGGAGTGAGTAAAGAAAGATGATGGAAATATAAAGCCTCCTGTCATGTTATAAAATTGAAAACTTTGACAGCTAAATTCTATCTAGCCAAATTATTAATAAACATGAAATATTGGTGAAAAACATTCAAAAAAAATTACAATGAAAAACTGCATGTATAGAAAACAACACTGGTAAACTACAGGTAAAAACTGTGACATTGTTATAGTAAAAAAAAAAATGGTACAAAAGTAGAATAAATCAGGTAGAGTATCTTCCAAGCTCCTGTCAGTACTTTAAAGTTGCAGGGAGTGAAGGAAATTATTTAATAAATAGTGGCTATTTCTATGTTGAAATAAGCCCTTTAAAAAAAATCAGACACATGCCTAAAGGCACAAGCTGTGCTTTATGTGTTTGGAGTATTCATTTCATGTTGTGTTATGTATACTCATAGGGTGCAGAAGAAAGCTCTATTTGATAATTTCATAATTTATAATGCACTCACCAATGCCAAACCGTAGATTACTAGTCTAACCTAAATTTATAAATCTTTATGTGCTTTCATTTGTTCTTCATTAAGGATTAACACAAATGAATTCCCAATCTATTTAAGACGATTCCTTAAAAAACAGATGTTGCCCAAATAGACAAAACCTGGTAAAAATGACATAATTCCAACCACATTGGTTTTTCGTAGATTTACTAATGCCAAATGTGGTCTCAATTGATTTGGTATATATCATTCATTCAGAAGTATTCAGAAAATTACCCCTATATGCACAAATTAAATAAACTTAAGCTTATGGGGGTCAATAAGATTCCATGTAGCAACTGGGCAGCCATCCCATGGGGATTGTGAAATACTTAGGTGTCATCAGTTGTGAGCTAATTGAAAAAATAATTAGGTGGTGGATATTTTAATATTCATGGAGGAGGACCTAGTGCTACCCTCAGACCCCACATATTAGTAGAGAGTTGGGGTACTAATTATAATAATTGGGGGGGAGGCCTTAGTTTCCCCCCAACCCTCACACTTTGGCGGGTGTGGCCCTAATTAATAGTACAATGTAAATGATGGCCAGCTGTCACAGAATTAACCTTTGCACCCATAGGGTTTTTAGGCTATTTGCTAGCTGGTTGCTAGTGTTCAGATTTTTTTTTCAGTCCGGACCCAGACTTGCAGCCTATGGAACTGGTTTTAATTTATACAGTCCCGGTGAAATCCAGACCAAATCGAGGCCCATTAAATTACAAAAATAATGTCTGGATTTTGCAGTCCGAATGGCCTTGTATGCAGCAGGATGGTTTGCCCCATTTGGTAAAGGGACATTCAAGTTTTAGCGAAGAACCCTGTATGTCTTGTCTTCCTTGCTGTTTTGGTCACTGACAGAGATTGCCAATAAACCATCCCAAACATTGCCAGTAGATGGCATTGTTGTTCTTTCAACATTTTAACACTGTAAAACTTGTAGAAGATCTAATGTACAGAAAACGTATTATTTCATAACCTGCTTTCAGAAAACATACACAGGTTACGCTGTAAATAATATATCATTTCTGTTATGAATGTTATTAAACATTATTATTCACAGCACCCTTGTGACTCTCTGAGAGTTAAATACTATGTAATAAATAGCCCTTTATCATTACTTTCCAAAAATATCTACTTTGTAGAAACATTTCATCCCTAGACATAATGTGTCTTTATTTGTTTTAAACTATGTAGGATTTCATTATTACTGCTTATTACCTAGTGCATAATTCCCATAATATATTAACATGAAAAGAAAAGCACAACAACCTATAAATATAGAAGTGTCCTATACACACAAAACATTTACATTAATATTACATATGACTAAAATGCTATGTCTAAGACCTGTATCTATACTTCATACTTACACCACTGACTCTAAGCTTAGTGGGGTCCTATGTCTTGAAGGTTAATAACCTTCAAGACATAGGACCCCACTAAGCTTATGAAACTCACCTCCCTGCTCCATTAGACTCTCACCCAGTCTTCTCCAAAAAATATCACGTAATGCTCACTACTTTAAGAAGGTATGTAAATTAAACTGTTAACAGCTTTCTCTCCCCAAACCTTGTTAGCCCATCTTGATTCTTCTCCTGCAACTGTGTCATCTAAAACTTAAATCTAACAATTTACTTTTACATACACGAAATACCCCTAACCATTATGTCATTTTACCCCACTACCCTGAGAATGCTAGAAGACAGCAGTGCCTTTTTAACAGAGACTAGAGGCACTTTCTTGGAAGGAAGTGAATTACAAATTGCATCAAACCACGTTACTGGAATATCTACGAGCCAGATGCATACCCAGGGGCTTCAGAGTCCCCTTGATTCCTACCTTATGTAAGGACAATCTAAATCACACGAAGAGGTGGTATCAAATATTGAATAAGTGTGCATTGGACTTGATTGCATCAACAATAGAAAGCCTGCATGAGGAGCTAAGGTACAAAAGAATGAGATATCAGCACAGTTGGCTACACAAATTAAATCTGAATGGCTACTGAAGGTTACACAAGAAATCACAGTACCCGTAGCAAAATGCCATAAAGAATTGGAAGCGGGGAAAAAACGTAAATTCAAAAGGGACACTCTCGACTATCAGCACAACCGTGTATATACACGGAAACCGCAATCTCGACCTATAGTACAAAAAAGACATGAACATATTTCATCTTAGGAGACCTTTACTACAAATACCGACTCAGATGCCTCCTCAGCAGGCACCTCTACAAGTACCACCACACGTCCTTTTTTAGGGGGGGACACTGCACAAGAAGGGGCATCGGGGGGCACTCCAGAAAAGAGAGACAAGTGACATTCCTGCAGCAAGACAATGAAAAAAGGCCACAGGGAAAAGGGGTATTAAACCTCTCTAGCACTGTATGGACTACTACCCAAATATCTGTACGTAGTAAAGGCTTAAACTTTGTACCTTCATTTAAATCTGATTTGTTTTCTAGTCAGGTAGACTTGCAAAAGTTTTTCCGTCTAATTAATCTGCGTGTATTTTTTTCAGATCGTCAACTCCAATGCCAGAGAGACAACATCCCTCCAGGAGATGATCCTTTGGCGGACACACATTCTAGCTAAGCAGCAAACATGGAGGTCTGTAGAAATAAAAGTACATTTTTCCCATTGCCCCCAATAATTCTGTACAGACATTCTGTAACATAGTTAATTCCCAAATTGAAAAATGATCTTGAGGTCATCAAAATATTTAGACATAATTTGACACAGAAAGACTAGCCCTAAAACAGATCTCACAAAACTCTGACATTATAGTAAAACCCACCAACAAGGGGCGGCCTAGTAGTTATTCAGGATAAAAAGAACTATCATGAAGAAGTAATGAAGCAGCTGCTAGATAGGAACAACTACAGCCTTAACAACCTTAAGAATGACCCTACACCTCATGTGACTAAAATCATTCAGACAGTATTAGATCAGGGACTCAAAGACGAGGTAATTACTAAATCACAGTTTACCTTTCTCTATAATAAGTTCCCTAGAACCCCTGTGTTTTATACCCTACCAAAGGTCCACAAGGATCATGTTCATCCACCAGGGCGCCCCAATTGTGGCAGGTACAGTCTCTATTTTTCAACCTCTAGCCATCATTGTGGAACAATTTCTACAACCATTAGTATCTTCTGGTAGATCCTTTATTCAGGACACTAAAGATTTCTTGGTAAACATCCTAAACATACGTATAGAGCCCTCTGACTTACTGGTGACACTGGATGTCTCCAGCCTGTACACATCCATCCCTCATCAGGAAGGTTTGACTATAGTGCAGGAAACACTGTCTAGTGTACTTACAGACAAAAACATTTGCTAATTTGTTAACAGATTATTGGAAACTGTCTTAAAGAAAAATTTCTTTAGACATATGTAAATTTTTTATGAACAAACCAAGGGGAATGCGATGGGTGCTAATGTGGCACCCTCGTATGCCAACTTATTTATGACAGCTTTTGAAGAAAATTTTGTTTATAAACATGAGCTTTTTCATATGTATGGCACCAGGTGGCTACGCTTTATAGATGACTGCTTTATGTTATGGCAGGGCAACAGGTCTGATCTTGAGGTGTTCCCAAAATACACGGTAGTGAGTACTGATAGTGTCAATTTTTTAGATGTGCAGGTCAGTAAGAAGGATGGTTTTCTGGAGACTGATCTGAAGCTTTCATTTGCCTAAACAAATCTGTTCAATTCCATACAGCCAGTTCCTGCGAGTCGGCCGTATTGTCAGCGATGACAACATAGTTGATACCCGCTTCACAGATCTTTCACAGAAATTCCTGGATAAGGAATATAGCTCACATCTGTTACGGAAAGACAAACGAAAAGCTAAAGGCATTAACCGGGAGGAATTACTCTCTACGATTAATAAATCCAAACAAGACAGAATACCATTTGTGAGTGCTCACTCAGCACTTAAACCACAAATTCAGAAGGTCATACAAAACAACTGGTTTATACTGCAAACAGACAAACAGACTGGACATTTATTTAAAAACCCTCCACTGTTTGCAAACAAACGTGGACATTCTATTAGAGACAAGGTTGTCAGGGTTGACACACAGACTAACATTAGACAAACGTTCCTTTCAAAACCTGAACATGTGACATATCCCTGTTTATGTTGCAGTCACTGCAGTGGGATCATTAAGGGTGAATTCGGCACCCACCCTAGAACTGGTGAACGGATTAAATTGACAGGGTTTTTTACATGTCAGACGGAGTATGTGGTATATTTTCTAAAGTGTCCGTGTGGCTTGGGGTTGTCAGGGTATTTATATCGGCAGACATTTTGTGCTACGATAGAAACTAAAAGTGTATATTCTGAGTCACTCTGAACAGACCAGACTCCATTTTGTTATTTCAAGTTAACAAAAAGACACTAGATTTCTATCTGTAAGTTAACCACTTTCCCAGAGCTGAGGAATGCATAGTATATACAAGCCAAGTGATAAGGAAGGGGGTTGGACAGACTGTCTAATGCTAATGGAATATAATCAAATCTAAACCCAGACAATTGTGACAGAGAAGATTAAATAATAAAATTTAACTGTCTATATATATAAGGTACCATTGTATGGAAAAGGGTAAACTTAGTTCATGATCTGCCATATCAGAAATTATAGCAGATTTGCCAGACACATAGTCTGGACAAAATTTAAGAAACCCTTTGATCTTTGAAGGATACGTAAGTTATAGCCACTATCTAGATAGGCCAAAATGACGTCAAAATAGCCACCAGGAAAAGTTAACTCTTTCCTGGATAGGTATGTTTAGTGGGACAAGACTGCCCTCTACAGACCAAATAACTAATTTGCGATCTGGAAGATAACCACACCTCTAGTGCTTCTATTGGGTTATCAACTGATGACGTACAGAGAGTCTGGCCCTTTAAAAGTTAAGACAAAAGGATACGAGATAGAGGCAGGGTATGCAAGAGATGCAAAGGAGAGGAGAGAGGAATTGGAAGTTGGGGACTCCAACCTCCATGCAGAGAGACATCCAAATAAGTTCCTGAGACTACCAATCGGATAAAATATCTACTCAACTGGTAATTATACTGGTTTCATTTAATTAATTAAATTAATTAAAATGTATTAATAGCATTATATATGACTGGATAAAGCACGGTCAGATTTCCATATTAAGAAATCTTAGTTAACTAAAGAATATATAGTTATAAACATTCCATTCTGCAGGTGGAATTAAGAATAATTATATATTGATGTGATATTATCACGTGTTAGCATACCGCTGTTTTTATCCAGGTGTATTGATTTGCTCTAAATTAAGATAGATATCTTTTAGACAAATTAAAAATCTGCTTATATAATATGGTAGATTCTCTTATTGGATGGTTTCAGAAAATGACTAATGAACTGGGTTAAATGTTATTTTATTTAAAATACATAAGACTAGATCTTAACTACCTAGTAGATCTAGCCAGCATTGAAAGGGTTATTCTAACTGTCTGCTAAACTTTACGACCTTACGCTGCATTCTGAGGAATTCTGTTCTTCCCTGTGAAAAGTTTCACTTTCAGTCTGTGAAAGCTAGTCATAAATCGTAGAAGTCTTGACAGATAATGCCGTTTAGCCATTGAAACATAATACCCATTTCTTTGTATTGCATATCATTTTATACTGAATATTCATTGATTATTGTCATGCATGTTGCTTAATATTATTATTAATTAATTTGTCATATAAATAAAAATCTATTTTTATACATTGTGATATTAATTATATGAAATACATTCCACTTAACACGATAAACGTTCTTTGGGATCTGAGAATTGAATTAGTGGGCAATTCTCAACTGTTACTATTATTATCCCATAAATATCCCCACAGGGTATGTGGGTAAAATGATACATGCGATGAAGGACCGGGTGTCTCACCATAAAACAACTATCCGCAGTATAAACTCAGATGGTCCAGTCGCACAGCACTTTTGAGATATCAAGTTCTTGAGAGGGTGCCACCTTTAACTAGAGGTGGCAATAGGGAGAAACTACTATTACAAATGGAAGCCTGCTGGATGCACCGGCTGGAAACAGTGTGCCCTCAGGTTCTCTATGAGAAGCTAGAGTGGCATTGGTTCCTGTAGGTGCGTCCGTCAGGTGCCTGCCAAGGGATACATCTTGAACCTGGGTATGTATTATGCTTAATATATTATATTTAAATTAAGTTTTTTTGTCCTGATTAACAGTCTCTCTTCACGTACATCTTATGTGGCATGCTGTATATTCTCACATATTGTGAGACTGATTTTATGTTGAATCTTTATTCATATTGTAAATAGTGTTAGTTTTTGTTATGTTTTGATTATTATATTACCTTTGCTCCTTTTTATACATTTATATGTTTAATGTTGGTATTATAACCTTATATTCTGCTTCTGATTATAGAAATATACCTTCTAGCCTATGTTATGTCTTGTTTAACTTACACCATTGATTAGAACGAGTCAATGTTTACCCGTTTCCTAGCAAATGGACCTGAAGACATCACCCTGCAGGAACGCAACGTCTGACGTCATCACGCACAATGGTGGATGGACGCTGGAACTTGCTAAACAGCTAATCTTGATCCTGTTTGAAATGTGGGTGGAGGCATTTAATTTTATGTAAGCACTTTATGTATATATATGTGATTGTATTCCTGCTCCGGTTAAGGACATTAGCATTGACAAAGGGCCACAGCCTGAAACGTTTGCAACTTGTATGTTGTCCTTCAAATAAATATGGTAGCACCTGGGTGTGCACTTTAAATACCAGTTGCGCATTTCTCCAATTTTTTTGGTTTTGGCTATTGCACTGAAGGAACTACATTATTGCTGCATGGTTTACCTATCATGTATTTTTATTGAAACGGTGTAGGTAGATATTCTGCCTCTACACATAATATATAGTGCACAGAAACTGTGGTTTGAAGCTTGGCGGTAATTAACATATAGATTAATCTTTAATAGAATAAAATATATACACACACAGCCCAATTTTTCTTACTGCTTTAATCCTGTACATTTTTAGAAAACAATATCCACTGCTTAGTGTCATGAATTAACTTTATTTATTGTTGCTTATAAAGATTTGTTGCTTTTCAAATTGAGTTTTAGCACATTAATTTATCCGATTGCCTCAGTCAAAGAAGAAATTATTAGTACTTTGACCAAAAAAGTCCCATAAAAAAAGAAATAACGTGTTGTTTTAGACTTTGTGTAATATATTTTTTAACAATGAAAATCATTTATCTTTACTCATAAATAACAATCATATAAAAATCTATATGAAAGATTACTAACAGTAGGTACTTCAGTAGCAAAGAATAAAGCATAAGAAAATAATGGTAGTTTGAATTAATAAAGTTGGTTAAATAACTTATGTAGTACACCCCAGAAATATATACAGTAATGGGAAAAAAAGTATAATTTCTGATGTCTTTCCTCCTTGGCATTATGCTAACACACATGTGAAACATATGTTTCAAAGAGGGTGTGCTTTCTTTTTCCCATGACTGTACATCTAAATATGTTTTTGAGGTTGTAATGTAACTATTAAAAACAATTCCAATTTGATTATAGTGTGTTGTACACTTCAAAATAAAATAATATGGTATGCTTGAATTGGTGGAACTGGATACATACATGCTAGACTTGGGCATTCGTTTTTCAGACAAACACATTTTCATCCGAAAGATGCATAATGAATACTGTAGGGGACCTGGTACTATTCCCTTTGGTTGCCCGTACCTATCCCCAAGTTTCCCGAACGTATTCGTGGTCCCTCTTTTATGCATTCCAGAACACCGACCATCGACCATCCCTGGCTGTTAACCGCAATTAAGCGATTAAGTGCTTTCCCTGGGTCGTCGCCTTTCGTAGTGGTACTTGGTCTTTGAATGCATGGAACTAATTTCAGGCACAAACCCGGGCAAAGATTGTACCGCTGCCCCGCACACTTCCCAACCAGCTAGATGAATGATGTTCAGGAGATAGGGGAAACATTCGCTCCCTACAAGTCAGGGGGAGCGTTAGTCGGTGTTCACACCGGAACCCCTGAAAGTAGACTGGCCATTGCCCTAGTTTCTCTGGAACTATTTTGGATCATCACCTCGTGACCGGCCAGTCAGCACTTTACGCTAATGGCGATCCCATTCTACTGAACAGATCTGAGCACTATTTGTATATGTTCGGTGCTCAGACATGTGCTGTTCAGGGATATAATAAGACTTGTGGGGTTTCTGTGACATAACTATTTTTTCAGGGTGTTTCATGTATTTTTTTATGTGGTTTCCTGTACCTGAGTGATAATTGAGTTATCTAGTTTTGACTCAATTATCTCCCAGACACAGGGATGCCTGGGAGGGGTTTGTGTGATTTTCAATGGAGACCCCATGCAGGGGCATAAAAAACATTAAAAGCTAAGCTTTGAGGTGAATAAACCAGTTGACTCCCAGAACTGTGTGTCATCCAGTTACTGGGTGGATGGGCTATAATCACTGAACAGTGCTTTCTTGCAGCTCCAGAGGACTTCAGCGGTCTCAGGATTGCAGCTCTGCTACAAATACAAGTTACAATAAATGAAACAGAGATAGAATTGCTTGTTGGCTGAAATTTTTCATGTTTTTTGTGCTATTTGTTCATCCCTAGGGTTTTTTGTTGTTTATTACACATGGCGGCACTAGGTGTTTAACTTTTATTTTATTTTTCTCTAATTCAGCTCTGAGCTATGTGGTCTAATGGGTAATTGGGAGTGTTTTGTCTTGATACTTTACTAGGGACAGCATAGAACACCCTCGAAGGTGTTTGGCTTAGGAGTAATAGGGATATTAGCTCTGTATTTGCACAGTCCCAAAGTTACTTGCTGCTTTCAGCACATTTGATGACTATTGAG